TTTTGAGGGCTTTTCAGCCTTGTTCATCAATCTTTTGGGATTCTTTGTAAGTTCCACCTTTTTAATTAATGACAATTAATTCTTTTTATTCCAATTTTATTGATTCTTCAATTATGAATTGTGAGTAGTTTAATTAGGGATTTGGGATTGATGAAGGGGTTGATCATGATGTATGGCTAGATTCTTGATGGGTTAATTGCATGAATGCCGTTTAATTTGTGTTTGAATAATTTAACTAATATCTCTTGTAACCTAAATGGCCACTAGAATTACAATTGCATGTAGAATAAATTAAGAGAGATCTAGTTTATTCTAGGACACATTCACACACACTTAATCGTTCGCTAAGAGATTAGTAGCGATTAAGGGGCTGTAAGCTCACTCATCTTAGCAATAATTTAGGATCCTGTCGCATGAGAGATCAGCCTGGTCCCCTAAGTTATTGTACTCTACGCCGCGAGAGCGGTAAGAACATAGTAATAATTAGCTAGGCTCAATTAAATTAATTTCATGTAATTAGGCCTGATCTGCCAGAAATCTGGTTACCCCGGAATCGATCCCTATTCCCTTCGTCATTAATTAGAAAGAACCCCCTAGTTTAATTGTTTTTTTCGCATTAGTTTTATTTTCCAAACCAACCAATCTCGCACAACGCTTTTATTTTATATTCTTTTTAATCGCTGAATTTAATTAATTCTTGATTCCCTTTTGTCCGTCCCTGTGGAGACGATACTCGTACTTACACCACTATATTACGATCTATTTTAAGTGTGAGAAAACTCACATCAATATTCATTGCTTAGTCCTCAAAGATTGTCCTTTTCATTTCTTTCAGCCCAATCAACTAACAACAAATCGGCTTTTGATGGCGCTTTGTATTTCTTTGATGGTGGTGCTTGTGGCGCTTTGTCTTTTCTTTTTTTATGTTGATCGTCGTTTAGATGATGATGGCTTTGATAGTGTAGGAACTGGAGCAGATGAATGAATTGATGGAACTGTAGTAGCTGTAGGAACAGATGAAACGGGTAAACTAACAACGGGGTCACAAAGACTTATCGTTGTCGTCATACTAGAGACTAGCTCATTTTGATGGGACAACATCCATAGTAGATGAGCCTATGGATGTTCTCGTGAGGACACAAGTCCTGACACAATAGTTGTAGGTAAGGATGGTGATGGTGAAGGAAATGGGAATGGTTTGTGAACAGTTAAGGCTAAAGATTGAGATGGTGGGGCTTCAGATGATGGTGAAGGTGGAAGTTGATGAGAAGATGATTGTTCAGAGTTAGATGATTGATAAGGAACTATACCTAGGGATGATTTCTCACAAGTATGCGGTCTTTTCTACGCCTCGTGATGATCCGAATCATCAGTGTTGTCATGCTTACGATTAGGTAGGCGTTCTTGATCACGAAAAGTGGCTTGGATATAAGGTGAAGCATGGGCTAGGATAACGTAGACTTGTATGAGATGGGGTTGAAGGTTGGTTTCACTGAGTAAGCGGTCAAGGAAGTATCCGAAAAGGTCGATATTGTTTAGGTTTACGAGGTTGGATAGAGAAGTTGAAGGTGTGGATAAGGTAGGGATACGTTGGGTGGTAATGGGTACGGTTGGTATGATTGATGGTAAGGTTAAGATGGTATCTAGTTGACTAGTTAGGTGGAGGGAGTTGGGTATGATCTTTGGTCTGCTATGCAAGTTGGTTCTATAGGTCGTAGTTCTTGAATAAGAGAAAGTTTAAATGCTAAGAGTTCAGACCTTAGATCCTCCCTAGTAAGACTAACAAATGATGAAAAACCAGATCTAGACATAGATTCTGTTCTCACAGCATCAGTAAAAATTGTTGAGTTATGGCCTGCCGGGGAGATACGTGTGGCAGGACTTTCAACCGTCATAGGCGTACCTCTAGTTGTTATGACTGGTGGTAATAGTCCAATTTTAATGTGTGAAGGGGGTTGTGTGCCTTAGAAAATGATAAAACATTTGGTATGGTGGACACATGACCTAACATGCAAGGACTTTCAGTGTGGGGCGGTTCACTAAATATTAAGGGTTCCCCTTGTATGGATGAAACAACTATCTGTTGGGAGACAATCAAGTGGTCAAAATTTGGTTGAATTTGCGCCATTGAACTCGATGTGGCGACTTCTACTTGGAAACTGACAAGGTCAGAACCTGTACCTATGGGTTGAGTTGGGTTATTGGAGTGACTGGGGGTTGTGAAATCATAATATTAGAGGAGGAGACATCATCTTTCTTGGACATAGTCTCATGTGTCCTCTTCTTAGGTTTTGTCGCTCTAGGGCCCTTACTAGCACTCAGCTTAGTTCTTTGGGTAGACACACTTGGGGTTGACTGCGTCGTAGGAACAGAAGAAATATGTACCTTATAAGTAGAAATGAGAGGGTCATTCAACTCAGAAATAGGCATTGGTTGCATAGCTTCGCCGTTATCTGACTTCTTTAAGTACAACAACTTCGGGATCTCTTGAAGCTCAGTAGGTGGCCTTATAGGAATGGTGGTGTCTTCCTTCATGAAATGATCGATCAGAATTGAGAACTACCGTACATATGGGATGTACTTAGCTTTCTTCTCAGACTCTTTGTTGCTGAGTTGCTCTAGAATTTCAGACCAGATTAGTTGTGCCCAGTCATAATTTTTGGCAAACATCACGCCATGGACCAGCTTGAGAATATGAATGTTGCATCGATCGTGGCTTGATTGCTTAGAAGATAAACACTTGTTGAGAATAGCAAACAGAGATCTCCATGGTCTAGGTAAGCGGCTGACTATGAAGTGTGAGAAAAGGGTGAGAGGTGGTAAATGACCAATTTTGAGCATATCAGCAAGTAGGTCTTGGTCAGCGAGAAAAAGGGTCGTATTTGGTAGCTGTGTGTAGTTAGAGTAGGGTTCTGAGGGTATTGTGGGTAATTTGGACGGTGGAGTTGGCTATTTGAGCTTCAAAGGTAGTAATGGGAGCAGTGGTTACTGAATGCATAGTTCCCCAGAATTGTCTTAGATAGATTTTGGGAACTTTTGCAGACAAGTTGAGAGCTGGCCAAAGTGGTTACATTTGAACACCTCTGGCCAAAGTGGTTTCATATCCTTTCAAAATAGATACCATGATCATGTCATTACATTTGAACACCTCTGGGTGCAGTAGGTTTGTTTTCTTTGATATCAATCCAACTCTCCTTAGGTATACCCCTTCCTCAGAAATGAATGCCATAGTGCATGTACTGCAGAGACAAAAAAAATGGAATAAAGTAAGTCCAACGGTTAATGGGGCTAAAGGTGATTGGGCTTGAGTTTGGATCAATTTGGCTAAATGGGTTGGAGAAAACTCGGGTATATGTATGTTGATTAAGGAATTCAGGATATAGGATCATATGAGGTGGATTTTAGGTATGAATGAGATATCGAGATTAGGAGACTTTGGGGACAGGACTTCGGGTGTTTTTAGGCTTAAAGGATTTCGGGTGGCCGAGTTTAACACAAATGATTTAGGACAAAGATTTATGGCTTAGGAACTCGGGTGTGGGATATCGGGGGTGCAGATTAAGAGATTTCGGTGAGGAGGATCTCGGGTAAGGGAAATCGGGGTTGCGGTGTTTTCGGGGCTAGGGATTTTGGTAGGGCTAAAATTCTGATTCTAGGTTTTCTGGTGAGGTTTTCAATGGCCAAGATTTTGAATCTGGAATTTCAAAGGGCTCAAAATCCATATTTCGAATGTGAAGAAATTTATCGATTGGGGTTTTGAGAGTTCGGTGCTGGGTGTATGAAGGTTTGTTAGATGATGAATGGAGAGGATTGTCAGTTGAGGAAAAAGGTTGATAGTGACAATGGTGGCCGACGAAGATAAGGTGGTTTCTGGTGGTCTTTGTTGGATTCTCGTCGTCGTCAAGATGTGTACATGCAACTGAAAACGAAATACATAGACAAACATGCAAACTAAAAGATAAATGACAGCCTTAATCAAATTTGGAGAAGATGACCGACAAAGAAGAATAAGAAAAACTTTTGGAGTGTTTGAGATGTTTGAGTGCAATAGAGATTCAAGGGTGAGAGGACGAAGATGAATTTTTTTTTTTGCTATGTCCTTAAGAACCCGCGAGGAAGAAAAATTAAAAACTTTTTGCCTTTTTCTCAGAATAGGAAACTGACTCACTAAAATAGGAAACACTAGTCAGACTTAAAATATATAAAATATTTTTGTGATCTTCTGAATGACACAAATAAAATACCCCCTCAATTGCAGCACTCAGACCAGACTAACTTTTGCTCCCCCTAAATGTATGCACACTTTTAGGCAAACAAATTAAACGACCAAGAAATTGACTCAATAAAATAAAATAAACTAAATTAACTGACATGACAGATAAAATAAATTGCCCCCCCTACATTTGTGCGCATTTTAAAAATCACAATTCAGCATTCCCAGTTTTGAAATCAGGAACTGGAATCTTTTCTTGTTCAGGACTTTAATGAATAGATCAGCCAGTTGTAGCTCAGTGCACACAAAGTATAGGTCCACATGGCATTTTTCAACATTATCTTTGATGAAGTGAAATCTCATGTCAATGTGCTTAGTGCGAGAATGATGAACTGGGTTGCATTAGATAGCAATCGCACTCTTTGAGTCACTGAAGATTGGTATGTGTTCAAAATAAAATCCAAAGTCACGTAGTTGAGTCTTCATCCATAATACTTGTGAACAATAGGTAGCGGAAGTAACATATTTAGCCTCTGCCGTAGATGTATACATGCAATTTTGCTTCTTAGAGGACTAAACAAACCAGTTTCTCTCCAAGAAATTGAGCACTTCTCGATGTACTCTTTCTGCCCATTTTCAGCTTGTGTGAAGATGAAAAAAATGAGTAATTTAAATTTGCACCCCATTTTATTGTGCACATTGGACTTTGCACCCCGTTTTTAGAAAAGTTTGTTTTTGCACCCCATCCAAAAAGACAAAACAAAAGCTTCTTGTTGCCCTAATACATCATTTCTCGCCTATATATACTCTCTAACTGATCAGAATCATCCCTGCTTTGTAAACTCTTCTCTTTGTCCGGCCGCAGCATTCACTCATCTAAAGGTTAGTTAGATCCAGAAGATTTCGTAATAATTTATGAATTCCGCGGATATAGATACAAGAATTTCATGTTGTCTCTAAATTTAACCATGTTTTCTTTGTAAATCAAGCTGTTCGCTTTGTATTTATTTAGATAGTAGCGGAAATGGTGTTTAAGTACGCGTATCTCCTGAATCTTTGTTTATATTGAACCTCTAGATCCTTACTCATCGAGATCTTTGTTACTCGCGCTATTACTAAGTCAGAGTTATTGTTGAGATTTTCTCTGTATTCCTTGTTCTGAAAGTCTAGAGTATTGTAAATCTGTGGTTGATTTTAAATAGATGTGTGAGAACTAACTATTTTGAAGATCTCGATGTCTTTTGTTATCTCATCTCTGTTTGTAAGTTATATTTTTCACTGGAATGATTTGGTTGTAATCCATATTGAGAATTAGTCTGGAGTAATATCAATATATGGTTAATTTTAAATTGATGTGTAAGATTTGCCTGTTCGGAAGATTTGGGTGTCGTTTGTTATGTCATCTAAGCCACAAAATATTTTTCAAACACTGTATAGTGATACGATATTGTAGACTTTGAATGGCATTTGGTGAAAGGTTCTTTTATATAATTCTACATGTAGTCTATTTGTTGTTGGTCAAGTTATTAATTGGAAAACATGATCACAATCTGTAACTCTATTTTAATTTCTATTTGTTTACAGGTACCATAATCCACCATGGGTAAGGAAAAGGTTCACATCAGCATTGTTGTCATTGGCCATGTCGACTCTGGGAAGTCAACCACCACAGGCCATTTGATCTACAAGTTGGGAGGTATTGACAAACGTGTGATTGAGAGGTTTGAGAAGGAGGCAGCTGAGATGAACAAGAGGTCCTTCAAGTATGCATGGGTTCTTGACAAACTCAAGGCTGAACGTGAGCGTGGTATCACAATTGATATCGCTTTGTGGAAGTTTGAGACCACAAAGTACTACTGCACTGTCATTGATGCTCCTGGACATCGTGACTTCATCAAGAACATGATTACTGGAACCTCTCAGGCTGATTGTGCTGTTTTGATCATTGATTCCACCACCGGTGGTTTTGAAGCTGGTATTTCCAAGGACGGTCAGACCCGTGAACATGCTTTGCTTGCTTTCACTCTTGGTGTGAAGCAAATGATTTGCTGCTGCAACAAGGTTTCATTTATAAACTATCAATTTTCATTTTCAAATGAATTAATTTATATAGTAATTTTAATAGTATTCTGTTATGTCAAACAACTTTTGCTGATGATCTCTTAATGTTTAATTTGTAGATGGATGCCACAACCCCGAAGTATTCGAAGGCTAGGTATGAGGAAATTGTCAAGGAAGTGTCATCCTACCTGAAGAAGGTCGGATACAACCCTGACAAGGTCCCCTTTGTCCCAATCTCTGGTTTTGAGGGTGACAACATGATTGAAAGGTCAACAAACCTTGACTGGTACAAGGGACCAACCCTTCTTGAGGCTCTAGACCAGGTCAACGAGCCCAAGAGGCCATCTGACAAGCCCCTCCGTCTACCTCTTCAGGATGTCTACAAGATTGGTGGCATTGGTACTGTACCTGTAGGCCGTGTTGAGACAGGTGTGATTAAGCCCGGTATGTTGGTCACTTTTGGGCCAACTGGTCTGACAACTGAAGTGAAGTCTGTTGAGATGCATCATGAGTCTCTTCCAGAGGCACTTCCTGGTGACAACGTGGGATTCAATGTTAAGAATGTTGCCGTCAAGGATATCAAGCGTGGCTATGTTGCATCGAATTCCAAAGATGACCCTGCCAAGGAAGCTGCCAATTTCACTGCACAGGTCATCATCATGAACCACCCTGGGCAGATAGGAAATGGTTATGCTCCAGTTCTCGACTGCCACACTTCCCACATTGCTGTCAAGTTCTCTGAGATATTGACTAAAATTGATAGACGGTCTGGTAAGGAGCTTGAGAAGGAGCCGAAGTTCTTGAAAAATGGGGATGCTGGGATGGTGAAGATGGTTCCCACCAAGCCCATGGTTGTGGAGACCTTTGCTGAGTACCCGCCTCTTGGGCGTTTTGCAGTGAGGGACATGCGGCAAACTGTTGCTGTTGGAGTCGTCAAGAGTGTGGAGAAGAAAGAGCCTTCTGGAGCTAAGATTACCAAGGCCGCCGCGAAAAAGAAATGAATTGTGTTTTTGCTTCCTCCAAATGTGTTGCTTTGGTCAATGAGTTGTCTTTTACTACCTCGTTTGTTTGGTGCCCATTTTCAGAATTGGGTTCTGGATAGGCGATGGAGAGACTTTACTTTTCTGTTGGACTTCGTTTTCTGAGTTTTTAGTATTGGGTGCCCCTTGCTATCTTTAATTTAGTGGCTCAGAGAGTCAGAGTTTTGTTTTCATTCAGTTTGTGTTGGACTTTAATGGAAATGTAATTCTGGTTTCCTAGCTTATACTCTGTATGTTATAATGTGGATGTTTGAGCTGTGTAGTTCATGAAGGGCATATTTCGTGTATTCTTATATTTAGGGGAGGCGGGTGGAAGTACAATAACTAACATGCTAGGAAAGTGTCGAGTTCAATGTCCATCGCAATCTTTATAACTGTAAGAAATTAGGAACGATAAACAAATCTACCAATAATAACAATGCAAGTGAGCTTTGGTGGATGCACAGTTGCACACTAGTGACACTACTACACAAGTTAAAAAAGCCTAAACAAAATCCATCGGGTACCACTTTTTACTGAACTTGTGATACCATTTTGAAAAATCCCGAAGATATTGTAGTAGAAATTGATACATGTGAGAACGTGATCGTTTGTGTATGAAGTGAGTCAAAATGTAACGGATGCATTTTTTAATCTCAAAAAAAGTTTGCTTGTTAAAAATATCATCATGGTAATTGGTGAGTTCATATAAACGAACTAAAGCTGAAAGCTGGTAGTATAATACGGAGTAGAAAATTTGAAGTACGTGTCAGGTTTAAAACTTCAGCTATGGTCACAAGACATGTAGATTTAGAGATACAGAATCAATTAGAAAAAATTAGGGGTGAGCAAAAATACTGAACCGGCATGATACCGAACCGGACCGGTATGGTACCGGACCGATAAATGGGGTTTGAAACGGGCCTCAAAATTTTTGTCCCGAACCGGACCGAACCGGTTCCAAACAATGCCATGACCGGTTCTCATAAAATGAGAACCGGTACCGGACCGAACCGGACCGAAGTATGGTTTATTAAATTTGTACTACTATAGTTTATCTAAGATATATTAATTACCTCATCCGTCCCAAATTGATTTGCAAAGCCAACATTGTTTTGTCAAAGTTAATGTTAAGTTCTTGATAATTAATACAATTTTTAATAATTAAAATTTACATATTTAGAAACCACATTAAAATCTCTCTAAAGTTGCAAAATCCAAATTAAAATATACGAAGTACGGAGTAGTTTTTTTGAAAGGCCAAATTAGAATGTAATTAAAAAGTGAAATTCTAATTAAGTAAATAAAAAGAAATTGTTTGACCAAAAAAAGATTGACTTTGCAAATCAATTTGGAACGAAGGTAGTATGATACTACGTATATGAAAATTGATAAATTGTGTAGATTTTTGGAGGATGGCTAAACTTTAATTTTTTCTTAAACACCTGGAAAAAGTGGCATTGTTTGGTATTGGTATGGCATGGTACCGTCCCGTTTGAAAATGGACCGTACCGAATGGGTTTGGGTCTAAGACCGAACCGTACCGAACCGTTTCAATAGTAACGGTACGGGTAAGGGTTCGGCCAAATATTGGACCGGACCGGACCGTGCCCACCCCTAGAAAAAATAACCAAGACATAATATGACAAGTTAAGAAAACTGACCCAAATGAAAGAACTCTAAAAGAAGTATGTACTAGGAATGGACCAGGACCAGGCCGGGCTCCGGGGCGGGTTGGGGCGGGACTGGGTTTTAGGGATGAAGGCCCGGTACTGGCCCGAGTTTGAACTGGGCCAGGCTACCCGCCCGGGTCTCGGGCCGGGCCAAGTCGGGCTATTTTTTATTTTTTTTTTAATTCTTTTTTAAAAATTAATTCAACAAGTGGTAGACAATAAAAAGTTAAACTATATTTATTTGAAATATGAACTACAATTGAGAATTGAGAAAATTTTAAAACATTAAATACATTTCCTAAAAATCAGTCGAAATCTCCGGCACCATCGGTTGTTGTTTCCTCCATGAAGTGGCGGGTGGGGGCGATACTAACTTCTTGAGTTCTACGTTGGGCCTTTAACCAATCGTGGAAGGAAACAAGCGTTTCAAGAGATTTTGTGATCAATCTCGTTCTATAATCCGTTAGGACGTTGCCGACCACAATAAATTCTTGTTCCACGGCAACTGTTGATACCGGCATTGATAGCACTTGCTTAGTCATCTTTGATAAAATCGGGAACGTTCTTTCTTTGCCCTTCCACCACTGCAGAACGTCAAAGTCACCCCTTTTTCATAGTCCACAAGAAACGTTAGATATAAAGAAAGCTCGTTAATTGAGCTTTGTGCTACAACGGGAGTTGATTTACTTTTTTCATTAGTGCTGGACTCGGACCGGGCGGCCCGAACCGGAACCGGCCCGGCCCGGTGGCCCGGTCCACCGGCGGTTCGGGTCGAACCGGCCCGGTGGATACCGGTTCCGGGCCCGGGCCCTCCATTTGGTGAACCGGCACAGCCGGTTCGGGCCCGGTCCGGTCCGGAATAATTTTTTATTTTATTTTTTTTGAATTTTTTTTAATTTTTGGGTTGGATTAGGTATTTTGGGCCATTTGAGGTGGTTTGGGGTGGTTTGGGGTTGAGGGGGAGGGGTAGGGGGTTAAATAAGGGAAGCCAAAAAAAAAAAAAAATGGGGCGGGTGAACCGGCCCGGAACCGGTCACCGCCGGTTCGGGCCCGGTCCCTCCTTTTGGTGAACCGAGGCCCGGCCAGTTCAAGGCCCGAACCGGACCCGGCCCGAACCGAGTCCAGCCCTATTTTTTTATAAGATTGCCAAATGTAGATTTTAAAAATGATTTTCGAAGAATATGTTCGTGTCGGTGGAGGGGGTGCGTTACCATATTGTGCATGAAACTCATTATATAATTGATGAAAAAGTTATTAACCTCGTTGTATTGCTCTTTAGGATACATGGGTTTATCTTCGAACATAGGAAATGGACCAACAAAGCAAGCATAATAATAGTCTAAACAATTTTGAAAAGCACCAAGTTTGAAATGATGATCAAGAATAAATGCAATATCATATATATGCGGAATATGCGAATAATATTTTAAAAACTTTTCTTTCATGTAATCACAAAAATGATGAATACAAGGGGCATCGGAAAATTCACAAAAAGCACCGACGAGATTAACAGCTTCAACCAAAAATTGGTTTGAGGTAGGTTTATAAACATGAATAAATGTTTGAGTTGCATAATTAAAATATACCAAAAGATTCACAATTTTTTGCATAGTGTCGATGTCAGCCGGATTTATAATATAGTTAACATATTCTTTTAAGAAAGTAGGAAAATGGTCTTTAAATCTAACAAGTACATCAATTAAGTTATAAGTACTATTCTAGGGAATAGACAAATCTTTAGAAAAAACACAATATTTCACACGTCTATCCCTCAAAGATTGACGCCATTGCATTTTACGTCGATTACTAGCTCAAATAAGTCTAATTCCCTCCTTCACTATCTCCATATCATCTCCTAACGCGGCTAGCCCGTCTTTTACACAAAAATTGAGAATATGACATGTACAACGCTGATGAAAAAACCTACCCATCAAAGTAGGACCACACAATTCACGCAATCTAGATATAACAGGAATATTATTACTAGCATTATCAAAACTCATAGCAAACACCTTATTAATCAAATTATACTCAATTTAAATACTCTCAATGACAATATAAATATTATCAGCGGTGTTTCGGTCAATAAATTCACGAAAAGCAAGAACACATTTATGCATTTCTCAATCATCATGAATATAATGTGCAGTCACACCCAAATAGTACAAATGATGATACGTATCTTCTCATATATTACTACAAACACTAACATGCCCATCAAAGTTTGCGAAAAACATTTGTAATCTCTCCTTTTCGAAAACATATTGCCTTATAATTTCTTTTTTAATAGTTTTGCGACTATAGTTTCTAAATTGAGGATTTAAAGATTTTTTAGCATAAGATTTTAATGCAAGACTTTCAGAAAAATAAAAGGCAAATTTTCATCAACAATTAATTCAGACATATCAGTTAAATGTTTGGAATCATTATAGGAGAAATTACCATAGGGTTGGAAATTTGCAAACCTCGATATTTGAATTTGCTTCCCCTTACCTTTTAATTTTGCATACTCCACGGGGTGACGGGCCTTAATATGCCTATCGGCCCCGTCGTATCCTTGTGAAATCCCCAAGCTTATATCTTTCTTACAATGATTGCAAGTTGTGTACCACTTCTCGGTTACCGGGTCCTTCCACTTTACATAATTATTTTTCATAAGGAGAAATTCACCTTTGTTACCGGGTTGAGATGAACCAGCCTCGTCCTCGTCAGGGGTTCCATGATCACCATCGTCAGGGTTCCATGATCCTCTTCGGCGTCATCATCCTTGAGCTCTTCCTCAATGTCGGGGATGTCATTTTGTTGGAAAAAGCGCTCATCCCGTTGGGCCAATAGTTGTTGTAGTTGCGCGTCAGACATTGCATTCACATCTCTCTATTGGTAATCCGTTTCAAAATCATCTGGGCTTTGAGAAGAAGATCTGATATGTCCTTTACCTTTGCGTGAAGTAGGATGATTCCTCCCAATCTCATTCTTTCAATTGCGTTGGAGGTTACCCATATCTACAGAATGTCTACCACGTTCCATCTTAAAATGTAACAAATATTAAATTCTAACAAATATGTTAATGTGAGTACAAAAACAATGCAAGTAATAACAAATGTAAGTAATTTGTAACAATACTTAAAATGTGACTTTTATATTAAAATGTAAGTAATGTGATTATAATAAAAAATGTGACTTATATTAAGATGTGATTAGTAAATTAAAGCAAAATTCCAAGTACTTCAATAAATACTTTAATCTAACAAGTGTAGTAAAATTAACTAAAGTTCCAACTAGTTTAATAGTTTAGTTAACGAAATTTCCAACTAGTTTAATTAATTTAAATTCCAACTACTTTTATATTTTGATCTAACAATCTAAGTGTAGTAAAATTAACTTAAATTCCAACTAGTTTAATAGTTTAATTAACTAAAATTCCAACTGCTTTTATATTTTAATCTAACAAGTGTATTTAAATTAACTAAAATTTCCAACTAGTTTAATAGTTTAATTAACTAAAATTTCAACTACTTTTATATTTTAATCTAATAAGGGTAGTAAAATTAACTAAAATTCCAGCTAGGTTAATAGTTTAATTAATTGAAATTCCAACTACTTTTATATTTTAATCTAACAAGTATAGTAAATTAACCAAAATTGCAACTACTTTAATAGTTTAATTAACTAAAATCACAACAACATTTATAGTTTAATCTTTTTTTTTCAATTTACTATATAAAGATTAAAATATAAAAGCCGTTGGGATTTTAGTTAATTAAACTATTAAAGTAGTTGCAATTTTGGTTAATTTACTATACTTGTTAG